ATTATAAGGTTTTGATTGAGACAACTAAAGGCAATAAAAGTGTCATAATCAAAATAGAATCTTACTATATATGTAAGCAAAGATAACTTTAGTACTGGGATTTGAGCAATTATCTGGCAAACAGCATCTAAACCAGCCATCATCAGCTGGAGGCAAATAATTATATTGAAGAAAGTATAGAGATAGATTGGCAGGTGAAGACTGCTCAATGCAGCGAATAGGATTAGCACTGCAGTCATTAGGGCCAGTAGGAGTAAACCACTCTCCATCGTTAAGAGTAGAGTCAGGCAGTATGCAGGATAGTGGCTGGTCTAAACTCATATTGTCAAGAAAATATGACCCATTTGAAAAGCAATTTCCATTTTGCGTAAGATATATATCTGTAAAGAGACATGGATACTTTCAGATCAACATGAACTTTATAATACTTCCTGATGAAGGTGGGCAGTTACCAGAGATGGCTTGTGCTGCTAGTATCAAGAGAGCAGTCGCTGCTAATCCTCCAGCCATTGTAAGATTAAGGATGATGCTGCTATTATTGTGTGGTCTGATGTTAGTTTATTCTTAGTAGGAAGTTAGCAGCTTACACAGGTAGTTTATATGTCACCTATGACACTCTATACAGTTGTCAGGCATAATTCATCACTAAAAGTTTCTGTTAGATCTACACAATTTTAAATGCTCATTAATTTTAAATGTTCTTTGTTTTTTTTCTGAAGCTCTTATGTTCGCATTTTTCAAATGACCATAACTTGAAAAATTAAAGTCAGAATCAGCTCAAACTTTCTAGACAGCATAAGGATATCAATATGTATCAGAAAATGTAATAAAAATTTGGGGCGACTTTGGAGCCATTTTTGGAAAAAACCATGGGCTATAGTACAGGGTATTTTTCAGATATTTGGCATTTTCTTAAAATGGCTGTAGCTCGAAAAATTGAAGTCAGAATCAGCTCAAACTTGCTACACAGCATAAGGACATCAATATGTATCAGAAAATTTAATAAAAATTTGGGGCGATTTTGGAGCCATTTTTGGAACCATGGGCTATAGTACAGGGTATTTTTCAGAATTTTGGCATTTTCTTAAAATGGCCGTAACTTGAAAAATTGAAGTCGGAATCAGCTCAAACTTGCTACACAGCATAAGGACATCAAATATGTATCAAAAAATTTAATAAAAATTTGGGGTGATTTCAGAGCCATTTTTTGGAAAAAAATCATGTGCTATAGTACAGGGTATTTTTCAGAATTTTGGCATTGTCTTAAAATGGCCGTAACTTGAAAAATTGAAGTCGGAATCAGCTCAAACTTGCTACACAGCATAAGGACATCAATATCTATCAGAAAATTTAATAAAAATTTGGGGTGATTTCGGAGCCATTTTTTGGAAAAAATCATGGGCTATAGTGCAGGGTATTTTTCAGATTTTTGACGTTTTCTTAAAATGGCCATAACTCAAAAAATTGAAGTCAAAATCAACTCAAACTTGCTACACAGCATAAGGACATCAATATGTATTAGATAATTTAATAAAAATTTGGGGTGATTTTGGAGCCATTTTTTGAAAAAACCATGAGCTATAGTACAGGGTATTTTTCAGAATTTTGGTGTTTTCTTAAAATGGCCCTAACTTTAAAATTTGAAGTCAGAATCTCAAACTTGCTACACAGCATAAGGACATCAATATGTATCAGAAAATTTAATAAAAATTTGGGGTGATTCCAGAGCCATTTTTTGGAAAAAAGCATGCATGGATATGGTCTTTGACAAATCCTGATCATGGAGCCATTTCTGATGAAATACATCACATAAAAGCTTGGACTATTATTTGTTATCCTACATTCCCCTTACAAATATCATAAATAAATTTGCCTCATTAGTCAAAATCCTGAAAAACTGAATTAGTATTACTATAATGCATTACTTATTACTATTACTATTACTTATTACCATTACCCATGTCTGGAGCATATATACCCATGATGTAGTAATACTTCTATTTTTTGACATAAATTTTTATTCAATCTAAAAGGTCATCAATGTCATCATAAGGATTATCATCAACAACAGAGGAAGGAAGAGGAGGAGGATCATCTTCAACAATATCCCACAGATCAGGCGGTTCTGAATTATTGTCCCCAGCTGGTTCAGTTCTATCATTACTGGTAGCTACTCCATCAGTTGATTGTTGTGAAGAAGCTCCTTGTTGCACATTAGAGTTATTTTGTGATAAGAGAGTGTTAAAATTAGTCTCATTGTTTTCATCATTATCATCTTCCATTCCTTCCCCTCTCTCCTCATCTTCTTCTTCCTCTACTATTCCTTCGCCAGGGACAGGAATACCAGCTGATCTGTACCTCATATTTCTAAACTGAGACTACAAAAATAGTGTTAAAAGAAATTAATTATCATCGTTAAAAATGAAATTTAAATAAATTCATTTCAGATAAATCACATGACAATATCTCACTTTAAATTCTTTAGAAGTTCTGCCCAGACCTTCAACGCGTTTAACAAAATCTTTAAAAGTGTATTTTGGATAAACTCTATTGGCCCAAAGCTCATATTGTTTCAGTAAATACTTTAAATCTGATGCCTGGAGTTTTGCAATTAAATGTTTATTAATTTAAAAATTAAAGATGGACCTCATGGCCTTTCCCTTTGAACTTTAATTTTGGAAATTCTCTAACAACGTATGGTAGTCCATTATCATTAAACAATCTGTGAAAATGAATAAAAATAAAATACAATTTTTTGTCAAAATAAAATTCACTAATTTAACAATAAAAATGGAGTTAATACTTCAAATTTTAGATGACTAACCGATCAACTTTAAGGGTCAGTACTGGCCTCCTAACAGTCTTCTTCCTTTGAGGATTACTAGAATCAGCATCTCCTGTTCCTCCTAGTGTACACTCAGCATTATTATTTATTATACAATTAATACAGTCCTACCACTGGTACTGTTGCTTCTTTGGGGTGTGGTATCTACCCCTGTATTTCTACTGTTTGTTGATAGTTGTGTGGTTGATTGTACTCCCAGTACTGGAGGAGGAAGAGGAGGTGGATCTTCTTCATCTTCTTCTTCGTATTCGTCTAAATCATCAGCAAAAAGTGGTTCTTCATCTACAGCCTCTGCCATTTTGAGTACAAAGCTAAAGGGCGTGGCTCAAGCAGGGCGTGGCTCAGCAGGCTCACTGCACTTTATTGTTTACTTTTCTTTTTGCTGCACTATGTCTAGAAGAATATCTTTTATGAGTAAGCAAAATATATCATGGTTTTCATTGCTCTTTTTTAGATGTTAAACATTTGAAATTGGTAAGAGATGCTTTGAAGGAAAGTCACTTCATTGATGCTAACTGGTTTGATCTTGGAGTAGAATTAAACCTACCCTATCCTGATCTGGCAAACATCAGAGCTAAATGGTCAAATGATCCTTCTCAGTGTTTACTGGAGTGTTTGAGCTTGTGGTTGACTTCAGCTAATAATCGTACTTGGGAATCATTAGCTAGTGCACTTGACAAAATGAATCATGCTGCAGCTGAACATGTCAGAAAAACCTGTAAGTAGTATATACATCCACTACATACCATATAGCTCCAAATTTTTGTCAGTCAAAAATTTTGTCAAAATCTTAATTTCTTGTTAAAATTAATTTTCGTCAATAAAATTTTCGTCATTTTTGTTATTAATCCTCATGCTACCCACGTGGAACAAAAATTTCGTCGGTTAAAAATTTTGTCAAGCAAAAGCACCTGACAAATTTAACGAAAATTTTGACCGACAAAAATTTGGAGCTATATGGTAGCCAATAATTTATATTTTATAGATGGTGATCCTGCTAGTCAGATATTCCAGCATTACAGTGATAGAATATCACAAATATTTCTCACGGATAGTTGTATCCAGTTGTTATATACAGAAGGATTAATCACTGAAGATACACAAAGGAAGATTGAGAGATGTGGTGGCTCATTAAGTGATACATTAAGAGAATTAATGATTGCAGTATCTGATGATCACAGTAAGTTGAGGTCACTAGGAAATATATTAATGGAATTAGACAAAACTAAACCTTTAGCTCAAGATATTATCAAAGATTGCGGTAAGAGTATATTTTGGTTTTTCTGTGTTATTTACTAATATGTTTTATTATAGATGAAATTATTGATAGATCAGTAACTACAGCTGTAGTTAGACCAGTTCGCAAAGTCAATCATTTACCTGCTGCAAATAACATACCAGTATCAGCTTCGGGTATCACATTTGCATATATAGTTTAAATTTATTTTTATTAATATTTATAGATGGTGAGCTCTTCTTCAATGCAGCACATCAGTCTATGTTTGATGAGATCAGAGGAAGTTTTGGTATTCTTATTGATGAGATCATTCCATTGGTATCTCAATCAATTCCATCAGCTGCAAAAATGAAGTCATTCCTTCAACTGTCCTTTCCTGAATTGAGTGCTGAACTGTCTAATGCTGATAGCATTGAAGGCATTATGAATGTTGTAGTGAAGAAATGCCGCATCAATAACATCTCAAAATTAAAAACAATTGTAAAACGATTTAAAATCACTGAAGCAAAACCACTGATATCAAAATATGAAAAAGAAGTGAAGACAGTCTGTGGATCATTAAAGGATTACCTTAGTCAGAACCAGCCTGAACATTTTTTCATTTGTGAAACAATTCGGTTTACTTTGGGATGGGAACCAGAGGAAAACTCACTTGATGACATACGTAATCTCTTAGAGGAAGCATTTAAAGAATTAAACAAGAGGATTATTGTACGAAGCATTCATCGTGGGAACTCTATTATTATCATCTGTTATGCTCCACATCATTTACTAGCTGCTCTTTTCTTGGAAGCACAAGACAACCTAACTGTCTTGATCAAAGATTTTCATTTAATTAGACTCACCATTGGCCACCACACTGTATATAATAAAAGGATCAAAAACAAAGTACAAAACACTAAGACCTTGTTTCATATTATGTATCAATCATAGGTGATGAATAGCTACATGTAGTACTGTCTTGTAGAGGAGGCTAAAGTAACTAATGATGAAGCACAAGAATTAAAGGCTTTACTTGATAAAAAAGAAGGTAAGCATTATTTTTCAATTGCATAAATTAGTAATAGTATAATTGCTATAGGATCAATTGATGAGCAAAGGAGTTTAATTAAAATGAAAAAAGGTAATACCAGGAGTAATAGATAAAATGCTATATAGTCAACAAAATTGTGTCATGGTTATATAGAATCTGAATCAAAATTAAAGCTATGTGTTAAAGCACATAGATTATTCCAGTCAAAAATGTCAGATATAATGCATCTACGGTCAAAAAAGGTACAGCTATTTAATACCACAGTGGTCAACATAAGATTTATTTGAGAATATAGGAAAAGCAAGAAGAAAAGAGTAAAGCTTTGAAAGAAAACATGTACCACATTGATTATTTACAGGAATGTATTTACATAAAAGAAATTTTTCTACAACCAATTAGTATGTGAGGAAATCATTAACTATTAGAACTAATTTTTTATACTAGGAATATGGAAAGAAAATGTTTGTACAGCTCGTTTTGATTATACCGGTTTGGATGGTTTTGGTGATAGCTTATTGGTCAATAAGGGGGATGAAGTGGAAATGCATGGCTGTTTACGAGGACTGACACAGCTTATTGCAAGATCTTTGACTTCTGGCCTTCAAGGATACGTTCCATTTTCTTATGTTGAGTCAAAATTTGATACACTTACATTATTTCAGTTTGCAATTTATGAATCAGAATTGTCTTATCCTACTCTCTGTAAGATAAGGAATGATCTCGACAATGATGATGAGAAAGCCACTTTGTTTATGGAAACTCTTAATGATGATCCTATAATGTTAGATGCTCTGAGACAAGACATAGCTTTATACAACCAATGGTAAGCTGTCTAAAACACCATGTCATTATCCTCAAACAATAATTCATTAATGCTGTTTATACAATGTAGAGCCTGGAAAAGTGCAATGGAAAGAAAAATTTGTGTCTCTTGAGTCTCCATCACCTGCTCAATGTGAAGATGTGATCAATAAACTGAATGATCATAGTGATATGTATTTTGTTATAGAGCACAAATATTCACCTCACTCTGCACTGATTTTACTCTCAGCACCTGTACTGAGAACAATGATGCTGCAGGATATTGTAATATGGTTTACTCCACTACCTCATGACTGCATCCAGTGTCTGTGTCAAATATTGAGTAGTAGTAAAACAATACGAAGGTTATGTATCATTTATTACTCTATTGGTGACAAAGGTGTAATTAGCCTTTGCCAAGCAATTGTGCAGAACTGTAATTCTACATTGAGCAGATTAGATCTTTCTTATAATCCACTCATCACATCTGCTTGTGCACAGGCTCTCTGTGAGCTCATCCTTGCTACTGATAGAATATGGGGAATAGATTTGAGGGTAACTATGATGTCTTCAGAATCAGTGCTACTTCTTCTTCAGGCTTTATCTGCAAACAAGAGTGTAAGAAGACTGATGCTTGATGTAAAACACAAGAAGATCTTTACTGAAACATACACAGAATACCATCCAATGATGGAGCGGTTGGTCTTTGCAGGATACTACAGCTATGATTATTGTGAGAACAACATTAACATGATTATCATGTCAATCATTTTGTTTATTTCTAGTATAACAAACTACAGTGTTGATCAGACAATTGGATATTATCTATGCTCAGACATCATCAAACTTGTGTGTATGTAGTTAGGTCTTTTATTGTGCAGTAATTTTTGTTGCTATAAAATTATTATTGTATACATGCATTGTAATAATTATTATATCAGTTGATTGGAATAATAATTCACTAAATAAATCTAACTCTAAAATAATTTTTAAAATAATAAGCCAATTATTAAATTGGTATATACTCACTTTCACTATCTACTTTCAGCTCTTCTTCTTCACAAGAAATAGCTTCTTCAACATCAGTCTAAGGAAGAAAAGCAAATACATGTACATGCATCACTTTATCTCTTATAGTACACACGTAATTACATGTACTGCATGTACATGTACAAGAATTAAGATGTCAAAAACTCTGTATTTTCATTTCTCTCTTTTCTGCTCATTCTCTCACTGGTTGTGATTTTGAAGATGCTGACCGGGCTGCCAATAGGGGGGGCAGGTGGGGCATTTTGCATTGGGCCCCAATCAAAGGGGGGCCCCCAAGGCCCTGGTCAGTAGTAAAGTATGTATAGTTTTTTTACAGAAAAAGATCAATGAATCATGACAACTCTTTTAAGTTAACTCTTGCTGGGCCATTTTGTTAATCACTGTTATTAATAAGGGGGCGATTTGTATTAGTAAGGGCCCCCTTCAAAGTTTTGCCCTGGGCCCCATATAGCCTATTGGCAGCTCTGATGCTGACACTGAGTGAGTGATCTCGTGTGATGATTGTTTAGGTGATAATGTTGAAGAGGCTGATATTACTGTACGTAGTTTTGACAACTGATTCTCTGTTTCTTGTCTAAAAAGAAAACAAGCAAAAACTCACCAGTATATTGTACATTGATGCATGCACAATTGCACATGTATCTTTTCCATACTTTGTAGTGGCAGTCTTGATTGTTCAGATGTTAATCTACTATTATTTTTTGATTGCAATGTCACTGCGTAACCCTTTAATCTGATCCCTTTGTGCAACACTAGGGAAGAGAGAGAAAGAGAGTATAGAAAGGGATGTATGTAAGAATAATTAGGGCCAAGTACAAAAAGTAACTCATCAAAAGCTATTTAAATGCATCTAGATCTATAATGTCATTAGTTTTTATGGACACATGCATGCTGATGTACACTTTTTATAGGATCAATCATAAGAGTGAGTTAGCTGCTGTCACTGTTAATACTGTTTAAGTGTGTATGGCTAAAATTTTTATTTTACTCCCCAACACATTCAAAATTATCAAGCCAAGCTTATCAAGATATAAATTAACCGATAAATATAAAACAGAATTTTAATACTCTAGACTATCCAGAAACATTTGCTTCTTCATCAATCATCATTTCCCTATTAGACAAAGATTGCCATCAGTAGGCCAATGATGCAACTGTAACTATCATTTTTATTGCTATGCAAGACCAGTACTAGCGTTAATCATCATGATGAATTGTGATATTAGTTAAACACTCAGTTGATGAAACAAAATATTAATAAAAATTACAAAAAATTTATATCACGTCTTAATCAATAATTCAATATGAGATAGTGGCTTTTGTTCTTGCTTTTCATATGCCTTGATCACTTGCTTCAATTGTTCCTTAAAAATATTCAAAAAGGTTGATACTTCTAAGTGAACATATTCTAATGAAGGGTGAAAAATAATGGCATTCAGGAAATCATATGCATTTGTTGTAATTCTAGACACAATTAGAGACAATTCCTGTGACAAATGTAAGTGCTGATCAAAACGTTGATATCGAAATTTAATACACAATATTTTGAGGGTTCTGACAGAATGTATGACATTTGTAAAATGAGGTAATCCATCTTCACTTAAGAAAGACATTGCTACAGTATACATGTCTAGCTGAAGTTCAGTGAGGATACTTTTTTGAGACAAGGTATTAAGGAAAAGTTTCACCTCCTCATTATTAAGTGCTTCAATAGGCACAGTTAAATGCTTTAAGCTCATATTATGTACTAGACCTTCATTCAAGAAATGCAGGAAAAAAGATGTAAAATTTGAAATACCCATGGGTTCCTTATTGATTTTCCATATGTTATTCAATGGAATCCTAGAAGGGGCACATATTTGCAATTGCATGATTTCAAGATGTTGTAACGTTTTGTTTTGCTTAAGAAGATTTTCAAAACTTTTTCCAATTCTATCTAAAATAAAGATTAATCCTAAACCAAAACTTAAGTAATTTTGTGCTTGAATTCCCACTTTCAGTCCCAAAAGTGTAGTATTGTAAGTCAGGCTGTCAAAAAGTTCTATAACATTTTCAAATGTTTGTAGCTGTAGTGAGAGATACTGTAGATTGGGATTAGAAAGGAGTAATGGATATGGAGGATATAAATTGTAGAGCATCAATTTTAAATTTTTTAGTCCTTTTGTATGAGGAAGAAGTGCCAGCATTATTTTGCATTGTCTTGGTTTTTCAAGAACTTCATAACTTTTATTAATTTCTAGAGTATTTAATGGCATATTTATTTCTTTGATATTAAGTGTTGATGAAATGAATTGATGAGGTAAATTGAGGGAAAGATCTTGCAACGTTTTGTTATTCTGCAGTAAGTTTTCTACAGTGCCATTTGGGAGAGGGAGACAATTATGACTCACTGTAACTTCTATTTTAAATGACTTGATTGTTTTACTTCTTGTTACTCCTTTAAATATACTAGCAGTTATATCAGAGGTAATTGGAACATTTTCCAGTTCCAAATGACGCATGCCAAGGTATAGTTCTTGTAGCTGGGAATTAGCTATACTCTTTTCCAGCTCAAGTAGATGAGTTCTAGTTGCTTGACTTGTTAAAAATGATACTTTTAAGTGAAGTTTTTTTAGTTGTGGAAGTTTAGAAAAGAAAATGAAAAAGACATTGAATTCTTGGAGTCCAAAAATATGATCATCTAACATACCAACCAATTCCTGAACACTTAAATATTGAGGCCATTGTAGAAACTCACTTTTTGGTGAAAAAGAATCTATTACCACTGTCTTAGATTGAGCTGGAGTGCTTCTTTCTAATTTTTTATTGATGTAGTTCCATTGATTGGCAAATTGAAATGGATGAAAATGTAAGTAATTCCAAATTCTATTAGAATTGTGAATAAAGTATGTAAAACACAATATGTCAAATGGTGGTTGCCAATGACTTTCAGCATTAGGTGAAATATTACCTAAGCATATGGAGTAGTTTTTGATAGATTGAGCTAAAATATGACACAACTCTGTATTTTGTGATTCATACAGTAGGTGAAGCAGAGTACAAAATTTGATCCTAAATGTTAACATAGACCTAAATCTAAGATCAGCATGATTCTTGTCTGGAGTGACCCATGGATGACAGGATTCGATCTCAAATAAACACCTTTTACATTGCAAGTCAAATACTGTGCTGCTAAAATATTTTTGATAGCTTTCATGCTGAAGCTTAGTTAGACCAGCCACAAACCTGAGACACAATCGAAAGTGATCATCTTCAAAACAATTTTTAAATATTTCTTCTGTTTTCTCATTTTTAGCAATCCACCATGCAGCTAAAAATTCCTGAATACTCAAGTGAATGAATTGATACCATTCCTCATCAAAGTCAGTAATAGTCGTGATTAAGCCAAGGTAGTTTTCCTTGGTTGCAATATTCAGAGACTGTAATTGAGAACGAGTGAAAGTCATTTTATTAGTTTGTTCTTTTAAACTAAAGTAAGCAAATTCACACATTTGTTGTAGAGTTGCATTTAAACCTGATGGCAATTTATTAAGACTTTCAAGATTTAATTGTTCATTAGAAGTATTATTGACATGCCTTCTAATAGTTTGTAAAATAAAGCTTTCATACAGTTCAGATACACTAGTTGGGAGATGACCTCCAAATTTACGATAAACTAATATAACCATAGAGCAAACTAGAGGAACATAACACAATGAGAGAACATCATCTCGTAATCTAAGATCTTGAATCAATTTTTCTGCTAGATCTTGACCAAGCCTTCCTTTAATTACTTTGTCTATTTCATCTGCAAAAAATCCAATAACATGAATATTCTGGTTCAGACATTCTAGTTGAAGTAGTGAAGCAGTGGCATAAGTACGAGAGGTAACAATTACAGAAGAATGAACTAACTGATCTCTGCAAATTATGCTTGTGGCTAAAGAAGACTTTTGCAGTTGTGTACTTAATTCATCCCAGCCATCAAAAATTATTAGAAGCCCTTTTCCCTCTCTTTCTGTTATCCAGTTGACAACTTTTGACACTTTAGGACTTTTATATGTACATGTAAATAGATCAGCTAGTTCAGTTGCTTCAGCTACTTGTTTATGTCTAAATGGACAATAAAG